TGGAGTAGTTTGAGATCAAACGAACCAGGATAAAAATATCGTGTTCATTGCAAGTGTTTTTCAGTTTTACAATTCAACCCCCCTTCTTGTGTTTTTCACTTCTTTAATTGGTATCAGAGCGCCTGGTTCTGAGCTAAAACACTTAACCGTGTCAGTACAAGATCCAGCGTCAGAAAAACACAATGGCAGGAAACTATTCTCACACCAGCAATGACAACCATGAGGACAGAGACAGATTCAACGGCAAACCTCCAGTCTTTGATGGAGAAAACTTTGATTACTGGAAAGACAGAATTGAAAGCTTCTTTCTGGCACATGATGCTGGTCTGTGGGATATGGTGACAGATGGATACACGCACCCTGTGAATGCAAGCGGTCAGAAGATTGATAGAAAAACAATGACTGACCAACAAAAGCGTGACTTCAAGAATCACCACAAGGCCAGAACCATCCTTCTCAGCGCCATCTCGTATGCTGAATATGAAAAGATCTCCAACAGAGACACAGCAAAGAACATGTTTGACTCACTCAGAATGACGCATGAGGGCAACGTTCAGGTTAAAGAAACTAAAGCTCTGGCGCTCATTCAGAAGTATGAGGCGTTCAAAATGGAAGAAAGTGAATCCATTGAAACAATGTTCTCAAGATTCCAGATTCTGGTAGCTGGTCTCAAGGTTCTGGACAAAGGTTACTCTACTGTTGATCACGTCAAGAAAATCATCAGAAGTTTACCCAAGCAGTGGAGGCCAATGGTTACAGCTCTGAAGCTAGCAAAAGATCTCAACAAAATTTCTCTGGAGGAACTTATCAGCTTCCTCAGAAGTCATGAGATAGAGCTAGAAGCTGATGAACCCCCGAAGCAAGGTAAGCCTTTAGCATTAAAATCTAACAAAAAATCTGAGTCTAAAGTTTTGCAGGCAGTTGAAGAAACATCTGATGGATCCTCATCAGAAGAAGACGAACTCTCCCTTCTCTCCAGAAGAGTGAATCAACTGTGGAAGCAGAGGCAAAAGAAGTTCAGGAATCCCAAAAGATCTGATCAGAACGAGTCTTCTTCCAGATACAGAAGGACAGATTCTTCCTCTGGATATAGAAGATCTGAAGGCTCCTCAGGAAGCAGAAAGCCAAACACCAAGGACATCATCTGCTATGAGTGCAATGAGCAAGGACACTACAAGAGTGACTGCCCAAAGCTTCAGAGGGAAAAGCCCAAAAAGAAGTTTGGAAGAGAAAAGAAGAAAAGTCTCATGGCTACATGGGATGACTCTGACTCGTCTGAAGCTGACTCAGAATCAGATGATGAAAGGGAAAACATAGCTCTCATGGCTAACATTTCAGAAGATAGTGAAGCTTCTGAATCAGACTCAGAATCAGATACTGAAGAGGTATTTCCTAAATTTGCTGTTAATTTTACCAAGGCTGAACTTGCTGAAAGCCTTAATGAAATCCTGGAAAGGTATCAGCAGATTAGAGTGAAATTCAGAGACCTGAAAAGGAATCTTGAATCTGACTCTAATAAGACTGAGAGTCTTAAATTGGAGAATTCTGAGTTGAGAATTAAAATTTCAAAATTAGAAAATACTTTACAAAACTCTCAGAAGGAACCAATTTCTGAAACTCCCAGCAACACCGATGAGATCATCAAGGAGTATGATCACAATTTCTGAACCAATTTCAGTTTTACAATTCAACCCCCCTTCTTGTGTTTTTCACTTCTTCATGTTTATACTAGTTCACTTGAAAATTATCAAGCTAGTCTAGTCCATCCTCCAAGGTGATTTCGCCTCACTCAATCGAGGACTTAATTGACTATAACCAAACTGATTACAATTTGCACAAACTACCCGCAAGTGACTAACAACCTCTACGACTCGCAAGCCCTAGACTTATTAAGGATTCATACCTACCCGGTCCCTTAAGGAATATCAAATAATAATCAACCTGATTATTACAATACACAAGCTACCCGCAAGTGACTAACAACTTCTAAAACTCGCAAGCTCTAGACTTCATAAGAATACAGATCTACTCGGTCCCTTAAGGAAAATCAAACAATTGTTTGAATACAAGTTTTGTTTACAAGAGTATTGCTTCTAAAAAGCTGAATGTGTAAATTGTTTTATGAATAATGACTTGAGAATGTGAAAGCTATGAACAACGTTTGCGCGTGATTATTAAGTGAATTGGAAGCTTTCTATCTTAGTTTTCAAGCCTTTATATAGCCAATAAAATAATATATCCATTGAGGGATACTCTAGGGATTTCTAGAAACATTGGAAGCTTGAATAGTAACGTGGGAGAAAAGATCGTCCAACGCGTTCGTCCTTTCATGGTAGTGGAATAAAATGTTAATTGTACCATGTACTATTTGTACCATGTTAACATTATCTTCTTTCTTTCTCCACTTCATAGGCTTCTGCGAGCATGAGTTTAGAAGCGGGAACATAACATCAGGTAATCAAAACTTCAAGTCTTCAGAACTGTGTCTCTAGAGTCTTTAACACTTGGTTGTGAGAACATTTCCTTAAAACCTTAGATCTTTAGAACTTTAAGTCTTTAGAATCTTTTAGAACTTATGTCTTTAGAGTCTTCAGCACTTGGTCTTCAGAACCCTTATCTTTAGAACCTTGTTATTAGAAACACAAACCTTTAGCATCTGGACTTCAGTAGAAAATTTGTCTTCAGATCTTCTAACTTTGTTTCTTTGGAACATATTGTCTTTAGAAGCTTGAGTCTTTAGCATCTAGACTTTAGTAGAAACTTGAGTCTTTAGATCTTTTGACTGGTTTCTTTAGAACAACATCATAGATTACACTTCAGAGCCTTCTGGAGTGTCTTGCTATTGTTCAACAGAACTTGTGTAGCATAGAAGCGGAATCAATTTTGTTCTAATGTCTTGGCCACGCCATCCATCAGAAGCAGAACCTGTTTGTTAAGTACTCAACAATAATAAACATTAGTGTATCAAAATTGTTCATACAAACATACTCATTTGTTATCATCAAAACTCAGAGATAATATTGCAGAACCAAATCTTGTTCTTACATTAACAACACAATAAACTAAATTTATAAACTTGACTCAAGTAACACAATATTATTTGTTTATAGCATGTTACTAGCAATACTATGTCCAATGATAACTAGAAAAAATAACGAATTATACAATTTATCAAACACTTGGTGTAGCGGTAAAATCAATGAAGTCGCCACCAAGTACTTATTTATCCCATATAAGGAAAATTAAAATCATCGAAGAAAAACCTAAAGGGGGAAATCAAGGTCTTGCGACTGAGAGATTGGGTAAGGGAGTCGATTACATGAGAGAAAGGTATTAGCACCCCTCACGTCTGTAGTACTCTATGGGACCCACTCTTGTTGTTCTAATCAAAAAGTGTGTTCCATCTAATACTTAAAAGTTATAAAAAATAATAGGGAATGCATGCAAAGAAAACATGGGGAAAGAAGGAAATATTTATAAGTTTTCGCTCGGCTGAGCCCCGTGACCAGATGCCTACACATCCCTTTTAAGGAATCATATCTCCATATTCTGATTCACAAATTTCTGTTTGTTTATGTTTTTTAAATGAACAATCTTAAACTCAATCATTCCACCGTTGCTCGATCATTGGAGACTCACGCAGTTTAGTGGAAAGGAATAAATACGTTCTTATAAGAGAAAATCCGAATGGCGAAAATAAATGGATTGGTTGGTATTTTTTTACCATGAAAAGAATTTTTATATGTTTAGCATATTTTATACATTTGCCAAGAAAAAGAAGTTTTAGTTTTAAATGCAATTACGCAAAAAGAGAAGAAAACATCTAAGGGAGACTAACCTATCTCTAAACTAGTGTTATCATACAGTGATGGCCCTATATGTCAAGGATGAAAAGGGAAATATCTACCATATGTTAGCATGCATGGATAACTACCCTAATATCTAGCTAGAAACTAATCACATAATCCTAAAGGGAACATGCAAAGATCGAAGACGTTATCTCAATTCTAATTGAGTGACATCGTCGATCATCAACAAAGGAAAGTAAAAAACCTATGGGGAGCATGCAAAAGATCGAAGTCATTATCTCAACTATAATCGAGTGACAACATCGATCATCAACAAAGGAGAGTAAAAACCCTATGGGGAGCATGCAAAAGATCGAAGTCGTTGTCTCAATTCTAATTGAGTGACATCATCCATTGTCAATAAGGGAAAGTAAAAACCCTATGGGGAGCATGCAAAAGATCAAAGTCGGTATCTCAATTCTAATTGAGTGACATCATCGATCGATAACCCATGAAAATAAGCACAAACACAATTAGCAAACAAGTGTGAAATGCCTGCTACAGGACTTTAAACAGCGACTTCGAGCGCATGCTCTTTAATTCCTACTTCTCATGATATCTAAAAAGAAATAAAACGCGGAAAGATAAATCGAAAGTAGTATAATACCAAATGAACAATAATGTCTGCAAAAAGCGCAACCAAAGTAAAGAAACTCGAAATAATTCACGCGAGCTGACATCGGCAAACAAATTGTCAGAGATCGAATATTCGGAATAGGTGTTGAAGCATCATCGATGTGAAAATAAATCACAATTGAAAACTCCAACATGTCTGTATATCAAACAATAAACCTGCATAAGACTCAACTCAACAAGCAAAGTGAATCACAAGTCTCAAGCAATCGAAAAACTATGAATTAATTTCCTAAAATCAAATAAAAAAGCCTAAATTTTTTTATTAATTTTGTAGTTTATTATCTAAAAAAAATTAAGAGAAATTCCTAACATTTTTTTTGTTTTATTATGTTTTTTTTATCATGAAAATTTAAACAAAAAGAAAACTAAAACAAAACAAGAAATTAGAAGAATTAAGGGGGTGTGAAGCACAGTCCAAGGGGTGTGTTGGAAATAAGGCTCGAGGCCCATTAAGCAAGGTCCACTGAACCAGTTATTTTTGTCAAATGAAGTTTCAGGTTTCAAAAAAATATTAAAATGGGCCTAATGGTGAGTGACTCGGTCCAGGTCCAGTGAGTTTTTTTTCCCATTCATCCAGCATAAAAAATAAAATGGGGCTTAAGGACAGCCCAACAACCTCACATTCAGCCCGTGTTTTTATTATTGAATTAAAAGAAACAAGAGTTAGACAAATTAATTGTAAAAAAGGAAAGAGATTAGGGTTAAAAGGGGTGACGGTCCAAGTCCTCGTAAGATTTCTTCTTCTTCCCTTTCACCGATCGGTGCCGAACCCTCCACCTCTTCTGCCGTCGTGGATCCTCAACCTTCTTCGTCCATTACAACCACCACTGGATTCAAACCTCAACGTCGCCATGACACCTTCGTTCGATTTTTCATAACCGTACGTTCTCTCAATGGCACGATCTACACCTCGACCTCATCTCCGATTCAACTTCAACGACACGGCTTCGTCTCTGCGAGAGACCGCTCAACGAATTTCGGATTTCGGATTTCGTTCGCACAAACGAGCTTCACATTGTGCCAGCAAGATCAATGGAGAAAACATCGAAAACAGAGGAAGAGTGATTTACCTGTCAGAGACGCTCCGACGACGGATCTAATGGAAGAATCGGAAACAACTCAGGTATGATTACGCTCTTCTTCTTCGCTAATTTCTTTTTCTTAGATTCTGTTCTCCGTGTTTTCGGTTGTTGATCTTGCGTGTGATTCTGTTAGAGTTAGTTGAGTGAAGGAATCAGTTGAGAGTAGAGTGAATCTAGGCCATATATTTAGAAGTATTCAATTGGTCGATCAATGGTGAGATAAAAGTTGGTTATCTCGGTTGTTATGACAGTTAGAGGTTTTTGATAAGTAGCTCCAATAAATTTTTGTTATGACAGTTATGGATTCAGCTAAAAAATCAGTTGAATTTGTCACAATTATTTCTGTTTTTTTTTTTAATTTCACTCTACCTCCCTGATTTCTATTTATCTCAGTTTGGCTCTGAATTTTCCTATTAACTCTTGCTCTCAAAGTCTATGAATTATTTGCTGATTCATTTTATTTCCCTGATTTACTTATGCAGGTTTTGAACAAATTACAACGTTTTTTTTAAACAGGGCAGTGTTGTAATAAACAACTTTTGATGGAGCAATGGTAATTTCTTTCAGGATATGTAATCTTTACTACTCATGATCTTTCCACTAAGTAAGTTCTAATTGCAGCACCAGATATTTTACCCTGTGAATCAAACTGAATTTCCACGAGCTTCCCAAACGGCTTGAGTTATCATTCCTAACAGTCTTTGCATTGCCAAATGCCTCTAACAGTGGATTCCACTCAAGAACTTTTTGTTCAACTGATCTATCCTTACAACGCAAACCTGCTTATCGGAAGGTTCGATTACTTCAGCAGGTAGTCAAGAAAAGTCCCTATCGGGAACCCAGACCTCGGAGTCCTTGCGCAAACTCATGATGAATTGGTGAGAATGGAGAAGAGAGCTTTAAAAAAGATGCCTTGTATCTTTTCTTTGTGGATTTTTGACGTGTTGTGATGTGAATTTAAAATCTAATTACCTTGAATCTCGACTTGAATTATATTTGCATAAAGTCTTGAATTGAGATGAACCAAGTGAAGTTCAGTGAGTTTTGAAATATAATTTACTTGTAACTTCTCTTGAATCATGACGTAAATTCTAAATTCCAAGCAAACAAAATTTATAAATTTTCTAATTTTGCAACTCTGATATTCAAGTGATATTTGTAGGAAATGATGAATGCTTTAAGCCCCCTTTTTTTTTAATTCCAAATGATCCACTAGAATAAACTTGAACTTGGATTACACCTTGAACTCATCACTTGTAAATTAACATGATCTTTCCGAACTCAACTTTTAGTCTTCCATTCAAATCCAAAACAATTCGTAAGCAAACAAGTAATTTAATAGTCAACCAAACTTTGTTTGCAAAGAATTCTCAATCACATTTTCCATGTCATGCTTGATCAATGAACCTTAATCTCAACTGAATTAGAAATCCCAACCATCTTTCATTTGAAGTGACCGAGTCCCTTTTAAAAATGAGAGATAAAGAGGCTTCCTAAACCATAGACCAGTCAACAAGACATATCTTGACTTGATGAAATTTTAAAGTATTCATCAATCACTTGACAAATATTATCACAAGAAAGAAGTCCTTGATTAAATTCTCTAACTTCCTAAAATGAAAGTCTCGTGGAGAAATCAACGAAACCTAGCATGATGAACCTCCATTGAAGATCTAATACAATGCTCGAGCATAACATGGGAGAAACCCTAAATGATCTCGCTCTGTGTGCACATTGATGAAGAAGGTTTGAGATAGCGAGAGGAACAAAACTCCGACTTCAGAACATTCCCGATGAAGACATGATGAAATCTTGAGCACACGGTAAACTCTAAAGCACTTGTTTTCTTGAAAAATCTTTTGAAGACAACCTTATATCTCGAGGAATCCTTCCAAGGAAGACGTTCATGACGTTTGTGGTCCAAAACCCTAGTTTCGTACCAATAATGATGAGAGCACCAGTTGAATCGAATTGAGTGAGGTAGCAACCTCAATTCATAGAGAAAAACCCTAATGCCAAGAGCTCTTTGATCCCATAACCATGGACTTGATAAAATTCATGAGATATATGTGATGTGATGAGGGATCTTAGGGTAAAATTGGGGTATAACACTTGGTATGTGATCGAATTTTCATAGTTTTTTCTTGAGTTGGGTTGATATGAAAAATCACTTATAATAAAAAGTTATTATAAGCTAATCAACAATCAGTTCAAAATAAAAACAACCACATAAAATTCTTACGAGTCGATTGTTCACTCGACGTTATTTGACAAATTACTTAATGAAAGATAAAGCAAGTAAAGAGATAAGAGAGAGTGACACGAGGATTTGTTTAGGAAGTTCGCCAATCGTCCTCGCTATGGCTACGTCTCCCCCCAAATCCAATTTTGTAATTAGGATAATTTCTTACTATGAAAAAAGTGATTACAAGAGAAATGGTCCAAGAGCAAGCCTACAAATACAATAGTTTGATGTTGATCCAACCCTATTCTCTTCTTTTGATCTTGAGTAAGACCAAGACACAATAGCTACCAATTGATTGATCAAATCTTTCTACTCCTTTGGGTACCAAACTCCAAAGCTCTTTTGCATATGATAAATCGTACATATTGAATACAAGACCTTTCAATTCTATTCTTTGTTCTCTCGCTACTTCCTTTGGTACCAAACTCCAAAGGCTTTTCACTGGGCCGCAATCCTCTTTTGAAAGTCTTGAACAAAACCCCCAAATATATCAAAGATATTGGAGGAAAAACCCTATATTTTTTTTATGAAACCCCCTACAAATCTCAACCCAATATTATCGGTTACACAAAACCTAATTGGTCATTATCAAACCTCGTCTAGATGGCACCCCGACAATAGATGATTGTGTGTGATTTGTGAGTGTGTATGCATAGGTTGGAAGTTGAAGGTGAAGAGGAAATGTAGTAAGTTTTTATAGTTTAATTAAGATGGAATGATTCATGAATGATGTATTTATAGTTGTGGAAGTTTGGAGGCAAAGAGGTAATTTTCATAATTAAAAGGAATTGAAAAATTGACCCAATCAAACAGTGTGTGTCGCCCGGAAATATGTATGTGTCGGCACATAAATCTAAAAAACTGAAAGTTACAGTATATGTCGGCCTATGTGAGTGCATGTGTCGGCCTATGTAAAATAGAAGTTACATGCTTCATTATTGAGTTACATGTGCTGGCCTAAAACACCTATGTGCCGGTACATGCAAGAAAAATTTATGCAGAAAATTGTTTTTCAAGGCTTTGGTCAATTTTAAAATGGTTTTTAGTTATTCCTAAGACCTTTAATGTAAGGGAATGTCATACGACATAGAGATACCGTCCAATATATAGAAATGCTAAGTTTTTCTAGTTTTGACATCATGTAAAACATCTAATGGTGAAGTTGCACTCACAAAAACAAGGTTCCACACCATCGATGATGTAGCTTTATTGTAGAAACCTTCCAAAGAAAGAGAAGCTACCCAAATTTAACAACTTGAGAGTAAGAACCTGAGCATAGAGGTCCCTATAATATGAAGGAATTTGATTATGAGATCCCTAAGACTACTCAAATTGAATCTATCCTCCAGACCAACATCAAAGAGCAGAAGCACACAAACAAGAAGGTTGACTACCTGATATGAAAGCACACTGAGACATGGATGCCATTTTTATTTAGGTTGTTTAGTTATGATGATGAGGACACTGAGTAGTCTTTTCTCGCTTTCTTTATTTGCTTTGTTTCTTGATTTATTTTTGCTTCTTTCATATCCCCTTTATAATTTTTTCTATTTTAATCAATAATGTATAATTATGCCTTTTATTAACTATGTGGTTCCTTATTTTCCTCTATTCATCTATCTATTTATTTTTACTCCTTTTTGATAATGTCAAATTGGGAGAAGAATACTCTCAGAGAGAGTAGGGTATACTATCTATATTTTTGAGGGGGAGTTTAGCCACTTCAATATTTCACCATTATCTTTCTATTGTTTCCCACCTCCTTGGGAGATAGATTGTCATCATCAAAAAGGGGGAGAATGTGAATCTATGTGCTTGCATGTAAAACTATATACAATTGTTAAATGTTCATGATGATTTTGATGATGACAATACTGAAGGGGTGAAAAACACAAGAAGGGGGGGTTGAATTGTAAAACTGGAAACTTAAAGCGAATGACAATGTATTTTTATCCTGGTTCGTTTGAACTCAAACTACTCCAGTCCACCCGTTCAAGGTGATTTCGCCTCTCTCCAACGAGGTCTTAATTCACTATATTCAACTGAATACAAATCTGCTTTAGCAACTGCTAAAACCTTCTTGATTCAAACCACAATCCGGTTTGCCAAGGCAATACTTTCTTACAAAGGAATAATCAAATGTGTGTGAATGTTTCTACGAAAACTATATCACAACTGTGATGTTTACACAAATGAAGCTTAGAATACTAAGTTGCTAAACGCTAATAGAGTATCAGAGTTTGGTGGTTTAGCAAAACTTGTAGAGTGAAGATTATTGATCAGCTTTTTGCGTGTAGAGAGTTTTGAAGCATTAGCCGTGATAATCTTCAAAGCTTGGTTTATATAGCACTTGAGAAGATGAACGTTGAAGTAAATATTCTTGATTCAATGCTATTTACAAGCTTTCCTTTTTGAGCAGATCTTGTCTAGAATGATGCCGTTGGTATTGATTAGCTTTCAATGCACAGTACCGTTGCTTCTTCAATGCACGATCTGGCTTGGCTCATTCTGATTCTGCTTCGCTGCTGATGAACTGATTTGATTCTGTATCAGAGTATTTTACGCGCAGTTCTGTTCATCAAGCTTCAGCATGTGCAAGCGTTGATCTTCTGATCTTTGACGTTCTGATTCAGCAACTTTTGATGCTGATGCACAAACTCATATTCTGATGCTGAGAACGTGATCTTGCTTAATTTAATCAGCATATCTGCAAGTCAGAGCATAGTAATTTTAAGTAGCATATAATTCAATCATGAAATATTTAACTACTATATCTTTTCACTTTGTTATCATCAAAACTTAATTATAGGGTACTAGATTCAAACATTGTTCTAACAATCTCCCCCTTTTTGATGATGACAAAAACTAGATATTTTAAATAAAAAATAACGTGAAAAGTTATCAGATCTATGTATCAGAATAAGAAGTACGGAGAAGTCAGAGTTAAGAGATACTCCCCCTGAGTTTGTTACTTCCTTTTGATATGTGTGTTCTTCAGAGTCAGATCTTTTTCTATCTTTGAGCATCAGATTATAAGTCTTTGACTTATCAGAGAGCAGAGCTTCAGAGCTTTTCCTGTCAGAGCTTTGCTTCGGATCAGAGTGTTAGGTCGATCAGATCTTCATATATCAGAACTTCATATTTGATCAGAGCAACATGAGCTTCTACATTTTTGATCAGAGCTTCTAGTCTTCATTGTGCCTGTAGACTTAAAGACAAAACAGAAAAAAAAACATTTCAAGTAATAGAGTTAGAATGTTTGAGAAT